AAGATAAATGAGTAACATCTCAAATAAACAATTTACAATTACATTAAATATAACCTATATCTAGGTGCTAGTGGTTCACACCTGTAATCCTAGCGACTCAGGAAGCTGAGGGAGTCTCTGAAGTATAGCCATAGCTCAAGTGATAAGGAGCTAACCTTGAGCAAAGAAGCTCATGGAGAGTACCCAGGCCCAGGGTTCAAGCTCAAGGATGAGCACAAAAAATAGTAAGATAAATAAAAATAAAGGAACCTATAACTAGTCAGAGTAACACATGCCTGTAATTCCAACATTAGGAGGCTGGTACAAAAAGGGCCGCAAATTCTAGGCTAAGCTGAGCTACACAGAAAAAGAAAGCAAAAATATCGATATCGATAAATACAGCTCATGGACAGTTAAATGAAGACTCTTTGACTTTTATAGTATATACTACACACAAAATGTTACATGGATTAATTTGCATTACCGTTTGCATGGATTGGAATGGAGCTGCATTTACATTGATTCCACTGCTATGCAAAGGTTTACTTGTCCCAGCTTGGAATACTTGAGGCTGAGAAGCAGCAGGAAGGGCTGATGATGCTGTAGTCTGGTCTGTATTTAAAGAGATTGTTGCCTAAACACAAAGCAAATAAATAGGTTCTTAGTAATAAACTAACTCAAAGTGCTTTTATTAATAATTTTAACTATTCTATTAAAGCAAATTAAATTGAGACAGTCACCATTAACATGAATTAGTAATTCTAAATTACCTCTGCCAGCCAATTCATAAGTGCCTAAACAAGCTTAATATAACTTGCCTGAATCTGATCAATTGGTTCCTTCTGTGGTCGTTGCTCTGTAGCATGAGAAGGCTGGTACAAGGGCTGAGACGCTGAATAACCCTCACTTGTGGATGAAACCAACGGAACCTAAACAGCAGTTTAAAAAAGAAAATCAAACCTTTCTTACAAAATTGACCCTTAAAAAATAAACCAGCACTGTCAGACAATGGTGACTCAGGCCTTCAATCCTAGCAACTCTGGGGGCTGGCTGCGATCTGAGGACTGAGGTTTGAAGCTAGCTCAAGCAGTCCATATAACTCTTCTCTACAATTAAGAAAAAGCCAGAAGTGGAGCTAGAGCACAAGCCTTAAGCAAAAACAAGCTGTAGGACCTGCTATAAATAGGACTTAAAAAAAAAAAAAAGTCTGCTTTTTTTTTTTTGCCAGGATAGGGGCTTGAATTAGGACCTGGGCATTCACTGTCTCTTCACTGTTTCACTTACAGCTGGCACTCTACCTCATTAGCCACAACTTTACTTCTGGCTTTTGTGGTGCTTAACTGAAGGTAAAAGTCTCAGACTTTTCTGTCCAGGCTGACCTTGAACCATGATCCACAGATCTCAGCCTCTTGAGTAGCTAGGATTACAGGCATAAGACACCAGCAATTTTTTAAAAATCAGAAATTAATACATTCTCTCTGTATTTGGTAACTACACATCCTAAGAATTGCAATTTTAACCTCAAAGATTAATACACTTCAGTACATTATGAAGTCCCTTCACAAGTTTCTTAGATTAAAAAATCCATTTAAAAACTAAATGTTGTCTAAAACATGTTGTCTGAAACTCTACTTAATTTGAAATTAAACGGATTCATTTTACCTGGTGACAGTGGCTCATGCCTGTAATCTTAACTACTTAAGAGGCTGAGTTCTGAAGATCATGACTGGCTCAAATTGATCATCAAAAAGCTAAAAGTGGAGATCTGACTCAATTGGTAGAGAGCTAACCTTGAGTGAAAAAGCTCAGGGACAGGGCCCAGACCCTGAGTTCAAGTCAAGGACCAGCACTGCTCATGTACACACACACAATCCTTCATTTTAATTACCCTTTATAAACATAAGGATGAACATGGAAAAACTCAAGAAACCAAAAGAAAAGATAAGCCTGGTACCAGTGGCTCACGCCTGTAATCCTAGCTACTCAGGAGGCTGAGATCTGAGGATCGCAGTCCAAAGCCAGCCCAGGCAGAAATGTCCGTGAAACTCAGAAAACAGGAAGTGGTGCTCTGGCTCAATTGGTAGAGAATTGGCTTTGAGCTGAAGAGCTCAGGGACAGAGCCCAGGCCCAGAGTTCAAGACGCACGACTGACCAAAAAAAAGAAAGAAAGAAAAAAGTAAATATAATTACCCATGATAAGTACCCATATGTCAGTGAATCTGTGGGAAAAGACCTAAAAACAAACTATATATGTACTGCTGAAGACTGACCTAAGAAACAAACCTGAGAAATTATTATTCCTCTTACCTGTGTAGCTTCTGGTTGTACAGACACTTGATTAGGTTGAGCAAGTCTAGACTCAGAATGAACTGCAAAAATAACAAAATTATACAAAATCAAATTTCTTAATAAATGTGTAAATATCTTTAATATGGCTGTACATGGCAAATTTTTATGGCCAAAAAACAAAACACATATTTTGTTCATCAAGAAAAGAACTGTTGAGTATAGTTCTACCAAGTTTGGCTTTCAAATGACTTATTTTGGTTCACTGCTTATAATTCTAATTTATTCTCACATACATTGTATTTTGTATTTTTTTAAGGGTAAAGTCAAATACCAGAAAGTAATCAAGAATAAGGTAGAAAGAATGACAGATATTCATTCCACTTAAAGCAATAAAAGTAGCATTGTCTATGCATACTCAAGACTGAATAGATATTATTCAGCTAATATTTTAACATCAAACTTGAATGTACTTCCCCCCTATGTTTTCATGGGGACTGAGGTAAAGGGGGAAGAGAGAATGAGAAGGAAAAGGAGAAAAAGAATAAACAACTACTTTAAAGCCTATATGAAATTTCAATGTGCAACTTTATTTACAGTTCTTATCAAGTTCCTACCTTCCTCCCCACCCATGATTAAGACAATCCTAAGGGTGGGAATATAGCTTAGTGGTAGAGTGCTTGCCTAGCATGCACAAAGCCTCTGGGTTCGATTCCACAGTACCATATAAACAGAAAAGGCCAGAAGTGGCGCTGTGACTCAAGTGATAGAGTGCTAGCCCTGAGCATAGAGAAGCTCACAGACAGTGCCCAGGCCCCGAGTTCAAGCTCTGGGACTGGCACAAAAAAAAAAAAAAGATAATCCTAAGTACAGAATCACTGCTCATTAAGAAACCAAAAACTATCATTCAAGTGTCTGGCTACCCAAAAATCCTTAGAGCTGTGTCAGTGTTAACATTAGGCACAATTTGGCACAATCTGTCAACCTGGAAACTACCTATCTCTCACTCTGGTAAGAATTCAGATAATAAATATTAAAATTTTGCTTTCTAAAGCCAGATTACAGGTAGCTCAGCTAGGAGGATATACCTTGGGCTGAGTCAGCACAAGGTAGGAAAGTCCATGAGACTTATCTCCAACTGACCACAAAAATCAAGAAGTGGGGCTGTGGCTCAAGTGAGAGTGCTAAGCCTTGAGCACAGTGCCCATGCCCTGAGTTCAAGTCCCCCAGACTGGCACATTTTTAACTACTAAGTTTTCGTAACTTTTGGTAAAATGTCGACAGGTATTTTACTTAACTATAGAGAAATTGAAACCACCTTGCCAAATTGTTTCACTGAATGTGCTTTTACTCAGTCCCACTTTGATGGCATAAGATTACCCAACATTGTAGATGCAGAATGCCACTACATGAAGAAAAGGCCAAGACGACCCTAAATGAATGTCACGAGAGATCATTTAATGCAAGGAGTTAACTAATTGCCAGTAACTATCTCACTTATTTAATCCTCTTAAGAATTTCCTTTCTTCAAAACATCTTGTTTTGATTTAGGGATTTACAAGTTTAGAAATTTTCAGAAGTGGCACTGTGGCTCAAGCGGTAGAGTGCTCCCCTTGAGCTGAAGAGCTGAGGGACAGCGCCCAGGCCCAGAGTTCAAGCCCCACAACCGACCAAAAAAAAAAGAATAAACTATAGGGCTGAGAAGGTGGCTCAGTGGTAGAGCACTTGCCTTGCATGCATGAGGCTCTGGGTTCGATTCCTCAGCAACACATAAGAAAAGGAAAAAAAGACAGAAGTGGTGCTGTTGCTCAAGTGGTAGAGCGCTAGCCTTGAGCTGAAGGACAGCACCCAGGCCCAGAGTTCAGGCCCCTCGACTGGACGCCCCCGCCCCCAAAAGAAATTTTCCTGAAGAGATGCAGCTATCTACCGCTTTCATTTCTAATAGCAAGAAAAAGATTCTTGAAACTATAATCAGTGATTGAGAGGGAGCATAAAATATAGATATCTGCCATAGTAATAGTATAGTGATGCTTCATTTCCTGCTCTAAATGCTGGTGTCTTGAGTTTCAACATGCTGAGTTCAAGCTCCAGTACCATCACACTAAGAAAGCAAAAAAGTATAAAGCGGTAATAAAAAGTTGCATTATAGGAAAAATATTTATCAAATTAATGACTAGGTTCAAAAGTTATGCCAAATATTAATGAAAATTTTAATTTTCATAAACTATAAAATATGAAGCATTAGCCTATACTTTCTCTCTCTACTAAATATGTAACATTACCAACCTGGAGGGCAAACCAGCTGAGGCATGTCCATATTTTGGGTTGGATTCATAGGCTGTGCAGATACAATGGCAGGATCAAGTGTCTGGTTTTCAAAATCCAGCATTGAGTCCTATGAGAATAATGGAATGATGTCAAATGACATAAACACTTAAAATGTGTTATAGTTTGTTTTTTGTTGTTTTACGAAAAAGCACATACCTGAATGAAATTGTAAGGGCCTTGCATTTGTGCCATTAGATCTTGTACTCGCTGTCTTCTCACAAGGGGATCTGCCTGAGCCACCTGAGTCAAAGAGTGGGGCTCAGGTACTGAAGGAGATGCAGCCTGTGGTTGTTGCTGGAGTGAATTTACCACCTAAAGTCAGGAGAGAGATGGAAGAGCTCTATTCATTAATACCATTAGTGATACTCAAGCCATGTAAACTATCCTATAAACATAACAGACTATAAAATACTCAAATGGACTACAATTATTCCAAACTTAACATTCTGGTCAGTAAGATCATCTGAACTTTTCTCAGTCCCATAGGATTAACATGTAGCATTTCAGATTTACTTTTATGTTTTCTGTAACTGAATCTGTATTATCTGTACCAAATGTGTATTATACATATATAGATAAGAACCAGGTATTTAGTTAGCACTCAACCAATGGTGGCCTTAACGATCAACTAAATTTTTTTTAACTTTAACCAATGAAAATTACTTCAATAAAATATCCTCCCTTCTTGTCTTTTCTGATGTTTCAGTGTTACATCTGATCTGTTTCAATTTCCACTATTTACTGTTCTTAGTAATTCCTGGCTCTACTTGAAAATTCTTGCTGATTTTTACAACATCTCATTTATGTTCATTTTATTGGCTTTTAAGCTTGTGAAAGTCAAAAATATTGAAAATGATCACATCATTTTTCTCAAGCAAATGCTGAGATAAAAATCATTAAGCTAGAGAGAGCCAATGGAGAGAGAAGGTGAATAAGGATGAATATAGGGGCTGGGAAGGTGGCTCAGTGGTAGAGCGCTTGCCTTGCATGCCTGAGGCCCTGGGTTCAACTCCTGAGCACCACATAGCAAAAAGAAAAAAGCCGGAAGTGGTGATGTGGCTCAAGTGGTAGAGCGCTACCCTTGAGCTGAAGAGCTGAGGGACAGCACCCAGGGCCAGGGTTCAGGCTCTACAACCGGACCCAAAAACAAACAAATAACAAAAAAAGGATGAATATAAAGTACTCTATTTGCACACACACACACACACACACATATACACACATATACACACACAACTAATGGGCTGAGTGTCTCAGGTGGTAGAATCCCAGCCAATGAGGGAAAGCATCAGATCAAGTTTAAATCCCAGTCTTAGACAAAAAAAAAAAAAAACTTATCACAATTGTTTTAAAATGGAGTAAAAGCTGTGTGTACATCTGATGATGTACATCATCAGAGGTACATTCTCTACATGTAGGAATATGTCACACCCAACTCCCTGTAGGACTGATGGATGTCAATTAAAAAATCTTTTCTTGGGCTGGGAAGGTAGCTCAGTGGTAGAGCACTTGCCTTGCATTCATGAGGCCCTGGGTTCAATTCCTCAGCACCACATAAGCAGAAAAAAAAGCCAGAAGTGATGCTGTGGCTCAAGTGGTAGAGCACTAGTCTTGAGATGAAGAGTTGAGGGACAGCACTCAGGCCCACGACTTGACACCCCCCCTCCAAAAAAAAGATCTTTTCTTTTAAAGTAGGTGCTAATGGCACACATTTGTAGTACTAGCTACTCAGTAGGCTTAAGACTTGGACAATCTTGGCTCAAAGTTCATGTAGGAAAGTGTATAGGACTCAATCTCCAATTACTAGCAAACTGCCAGTCTGGGGGGCATGGCTCACGTGGTAAAACACCAGCAGTGAGGGTTAAAAAGCCAAACAGTAGATCAAGGCCCACGTAGGAAAAAAAAAAAAAATCACAATATCCCACCTGAAAAATAATTTGACAAGGGAAGATTTTGAGTCATGGAGGCATGACTCAAGTGGTAGAATGGTAGCTAGCGAAGCTCCTGATTACAAAATCCCAATATCATAAACATGAGAAAAAGCATAAACAAACATCAACCTTGTAATACAGAAACCTCTTACCTCAACAGTTTCAACTGTCCACTCATCTACCTGCTCTTTTTCACCACTGCTGAACTGTGCTTCTGCCATAAATTGCCTATTTACATACTGTAAAGCAAAATAAATGTTTTGAGATTTGTTTGAAAGTCAGGTAAGTTAAAGGTAATACTGTATTATGTAAAAATCATACCTCTGTTGATTCAACTTCACTTTGTTCAGTGTATTCTTCTGCTGGTTCAGGTTCTAAGCGGTGAAATAAAAGATTTTTTAGGTCAGTGAAAGTAGTTTCTAAGACATATAATGGATACCTGTTTATAACAACCAAGTCTATAGAATTTACATCACAACAAAAAAGAACTGTAATGTAAGCTATGACTTTGGGTAATAATGACGTGTAAATGTAGGTTCGACTACAGTTAAGTGTACTATTCGAGGGGAATCCTGACAAGAGGTAACACAAGTGTGGAGATAGAGGATCCATTGGAAATATCTGTATCCAGTTTAACTGTAACCTTAAAACTGTTCTTCAAAGTCTACTTTAAGACAGCTGTAGTGGCTCATACATGTAGCTCCAACTATGAGGAAGAACTGAGTTTCAGGGTCAGGTGGGGCAAAAAGTCATCAACTTGCTTTACTGGTACTCTATAATTATTGAAGCCAAGCCTCCATTTCTGGCTTTTTGCTGGTTACTTGGAATTAAGTCTGGCAAGATTCTGTCTGCCTGGGCTGGCTTCAAATTTTGATGCTCAGCTTTCAACATCCTGTGTTTATAGGTATGAGCCACTTTACCTGGCTAATGCATTCAACTGTGTTTAGAACTGCTCAGAATTTTACTAACTTAAGTGTTACCATAGAAGTACTCATAATATATTAGTCTTTAACACAATGAGTGCTGTGCTAGATTTCAAAATGAATTAGAAAAGAACCCTTTCTGCTGTGATATTTCTAATTTGTATTTGTAATGTCCCCATGATAAAAGAAAAAGTTTTAGCTAGGCATTGGTGAGGATCATAGTTCAAAGCCAGCCTGGGCAGAGAAAGTTATGAAGCTCCAATTCATCCCCAAAAGAACCAGAAGTGGAACTATGGTTCGAGTGATCAGAGTACTAGTTGTAAGCAGCTAAGATCAGGGGCAGCACCTAGGCCCTAGATGCAAGCTTCAAGAATGGCACAAAAAAGAAAAAGAAAAAGTTCATAGTAAAAATAAACCTGCAGAAATCAAGAAAACATCTATAAAAAATCCTTATAAGCCAGGGAACGAGCTCATGCCTGGAATCCTCTCTACACAGAAGGCTGAGATCTGAAGATCACAGTTTAAAGGCAGCCCCGGCAGGAAAGTCCACAAGACTCTTATCTCCAATTAACGACCAGAAAACCAGAAGTGGCCCTGTAGCTCAAGTGGTAGAGTATTCACCTTGAGCTGAAGAACTGAGGAACAGCACTCAGGCCCAGAGTTCAAGCCCCACAACCAAGCCCCCCCCCAAAAAAAATCGACCCTTACCCCAACTCCTGACCAGCGATACTTTAGAACTGTCAATAACCATAATCAAGATTAGTAGACTTGCCAGATGCCTGTGGCTCAAACCTGTAATCGTAGCTACTCAAGAGGCTGAGAGCTGAGGATCGTGATTCAAAGTCAGCCCAGGCAGGAAAGTCTGTGAGACTCTTACCTCCAATTAACCACCAGAAAACCAGAAGTGGTACTATGGCTTAAGTGGTAGAGTGCTAGCTTTGAGCTGAAGAGCTGAGGGATAGCACCCAGGCCCAGAGTTCAAGCCCCATGACTGGCCAAAAAGAAAAGATTAGTAGACCTGATACTGAATACTTCATGCAATTACTTTTATTGAAATTACTCTTGATGTGCATGTGCTTTGTCTTCACATTGTATCTTGTATGTTTTAATTTTTTTAATCTAAGTATACCTTTTCAATATTTAATTAAGTATGTAACTTGAACTTATAGCAAAGGAAAAGAAAGGCCAGGGACGTTAACTCAAGACCTAAAGGGTCTTATCCATCTAGGTCAGTACTTACCAGCTTCAGCTACCTGGTCTTCTCCTGTAGGTGCAGAGGCTGCTTCTTCTTCTTCACACAGCCCATTCTGGTGATTGTGGGTGCTATCAAAGTAGTTTGACTGAAAAACACGCTCAACAATTTCCTTTAAAGCTTTATCTAAAAAATAATGTGAATTAAAATGTTAGACTTATGATAACAGGCATAAAGTTCAACATTCTATGAAATACTGAAAAATGAAAACCTTTATGAACAGCTAATAAAATATATACACAAAAACAATAAAAATTTCACCTAGAAAGTTGTATCACAGATTGACAGGCTACAAAACAACTTGCATTAAACTCTGTGGGGAAGCCAGATGCTGGTGGCTCACATTTGTAATCCTAACTATTCAGGAGGTTGAGATCTGAGGATCACAGTTTGAACACCAGCCTGGGCAGGAAAGTAAGTTTGTGAGACTTACAGCCAATTAAATCATAGAAAAAAAGCTGGAAGTGTGTTGTTGCAAGCCTTGAGCAAAAGGAGCTCAAGGACAGCACCTAGGCCCAGAGTTCAAGCCTCAGGGCCAGCAAAAAGGACATAAATTTTGTGGGGTTATTTTTTGTTTGATGGGTTTTTTTTTTTGGGGGGGGAATAGGTCCTGAGGGCCTGGGCATTGTCCCTGAGCTTTTGTGCTCAAGGCTAGTGTCCTAACACTTGCGCCCTAGCTGCACTGCCAGCTAGCTGTCACTATCGTGCCAGCCTACCAAGCGGAGTGTAAACCCCCAAAGTACTACAAAAAGGAGCAATAAATTGGACCTCATCACAATGACACTTCCCTGGTATACTTGCAACAAAAGCTAAGATAATGCCAGGCACTAATGGTTCCCCCTGTAATCCTGGCTACTCAGGAGGCTGAGATCAGAGGATAAATGTTTGAAGCCACTCCGGGCAGCAAAGTCTATGATATTCTTGTCACCAAAAAAGATGGAAACAGAGCTGTGACTCAAATAGTAGAGCACTAGCCTTGAGCAACAAAGCTCAGAGACAGTGCCTGAGTTCAAGCCCCAAGACCACAGCACTTTAAAAAAAAAAAAAAGGCTAAAATAGAGCTGTAGCTCAAGTGGCAGAATGCTAGTTTGAGCACAAGAGCTCAGGGACAACACCCAGGAAATGATAATGGGAAGGAATTGTTTCAAGATAGGAGAACACTTTCCTGGCCTTGTGTAGCAGATCTATATGTAGCAGGGCTATTCCAATTGGACAACATACAGAAAAATAAAACTTTTAACAAAATTCTATCAACACCACAGATTTAATCCTAATAAAACTATTATCATCAACTCTGAATAATGAACATTTCATGTTTTTCTTCACTTCAGAAATACATGATTCAATTCAGAAGTACCTATTTTCAAAACTTTATGGCTAAAAACAAAATGTATATAAAAACATTAATTGGAGTACATGAATACCTTTTCATTAGCTATATAGATGTTATAATCCTAAACTATGCAAACAAGATTAGGTAGATAAGAATATCAAAGCCTTCTGAAACTGAAGACAGTGGAGGATGAGAAAGATGGGGGTGGGAATCTGAGTGGGGCTATTTTGTATATGATGGGAACGTCACATTAACACCCCACTTGCACAAATAAGACAAAAATCTGAAGAAATTTTAAGTTATACTCACAGGTTGTTCCACATACAGATTTTTCCTTTCCTTCCAACAAGTCCCAAAGGTGAATGGAGGCATGTTCATACTGTTCATTCAACCTATAATAAATAATACAACTAATCACCTTTCAGTTTATTAATTAAATATTTGTAAGTTTCTGTTACCAAGTATCACTGTACCTTAAGCTCATGTCCCGTTCAGGGTCCACTAGCTTGTAGAATTCATCCAATAATGATAACTCTTCTTCAGACAATATTGGCACTCCATTTAAACCTTGTTTCAGGTCAGTTCGCACTTCATCATCTCCCAATTTGTCCAAAACATATTGTAGCTCAAGTACAGTTTTTAAACGTTTCTGTTCAGCTTCTTCTCTCATCAGCTGTTCCCGACGAGCTGTCTTCTTTATTGTTTTCTGAATCTACAGAAGAATGTAAGACCAAAAAAGTTAAAAGCTATCTATAAAAAATTCTCATTTTTATTAAGCACCATTTTCTAACTCACAAAATGCCTGGCACTAGTGGCTCCTATCTGTAATCCTAGCTAATCAGGAGGCTAAGATCTGAGGATCTCAGTTCAAAGCCAGCCAGCTTAGTAAGATTCTTATCTGCAATTCGCCCCCAGAAAACTAGAATTGGAGCTGTGGCTCAAAGTGGTAGAGCACTAGCTTTGAACAAAAAAAGCTCAAGGACAGCACCCAGGCCCTGAGTTGAAGCCTCATGAATAACCAAAAACAAAAAAAATCAAACAAGATGCCAAAACCTACCAGTGACTACACTCCCTTGCCCCATCAATCAATCCAGGCATCAGCGCATCAGCGGCTCACGCCCGTAATCCATGCTACTCAGAAGGCTGAGATCTGAGGATTGCCAGCCTAGGTAGGAAAGTCCCTGAGACTCTTATCTCCAATTAAGTACCAGAAATCTCCAATTAACCACCAAAAAACCAGAAGTGACATTGTGGCTCAAGAGCACTTGCCTTCAGCTGAAGAGCTCAAGGACAGCACCCGAGCCCCATAGTTCAAGCCCCATGACCAACAAAAAAATAACATAAAATATTAAAAATTACTTAAGTCAAGCACAGGGGCTCATACCTAAAATCCTATCTGCTTTGGAGGTTGAGATCTGAGGATTACAATTTGAAACTAGCCTGCACAGAAAAGTCTGAAAGACTCTTATCTCCAATTAACCACTAAAACATCAGCACCTAGGCCCTTGAGTTCATGCCTCAGTGTACACACACACACACACACACACACACACACACACACACAGATTAAAACTCTTTAGTTTCCTGAATAAGAGAAAGCAGGGAGAACAAAAGAAACTGGCAGTAAAAGATGACTAATAATAAGTACAAATGTATTTATTCCACAAAGACTGAAGGGATGCCACTAGTAAGCTTCGCTCCTCCATTTTCAGGCTTATCATAACCTTGGAGATTTTTAAAAGGTCAGCATTTTTAACAACTATGGCTATGCTTTCACTCTCGTTTTTCCTTATCTAAAGCCTCACTATAATTAACAAAGAGAGAAAAAAGAAAAATAGGGTCATATGAAGCCTATGTTAAAAGTAATGGAAACCAAAAAAATTATATAAGTAGGCTGGGAGCCGGTGGTTCACGCCTATAATCCTAGCTACTCAGGAGGCTGAGATGTGATGATCATGGTTTAAAGCCAGCCCGGGCAGGGCAGGAAAGTCCTTGAGACTCTTATCTCCAATAAACCACCAGAAAACCAGCAGTGGTACTGTAGCTCTAGTGGTAGAGCGGTTGCCTTGAGCTGAAGAGCTGAGGAGCTGAGGGACAACATCCAAGCCCAGAGTTCAAACGCCATGACCGACCCCCCCCCAAAAAAAAGAATGATAAAAGTAGAAAAAAACAATACAAATCTGAATGCTAGCAGAGTGGTTCAATGATCTTAGCAATAAATAACTAGTGAATAAATAGTATGTATGAGCAGAGATACAATTTAGAATGATCAAGAACTTTCAAGGACTAAGTATCACATATCAAAATGGATGAGCTTTTCAGTAATGGAAGAAGTTAAGGGTAGCTAGTAGCAAAAAAAAAAAAGGCAAGAATGTGAAAACAAAAGTAAAATAAAGCTGAGAGCTGGTGGCTCAGTAATCCTAACTACTCAGGAGGCTGAGCTCTAAGGATCACGGTTCAAAGACAGTCCAGGCAGGAAAGTCCATGAGACTCATCTCCAATAAACCACTAGAAAACCAGAAATGGTGGTGTGGCTCAAGAGGAGTGCTAGCCATGAGCTGAAGAGCGCAGGAACAGCACCCAAGCCCAGAGTTCAAGCCCCACCACTGACAAAAAAAAAAAGGTAAAATAAAGCCAGCACCAGTGGCTTATGCCTACTATAATCCTAGCTATTCAGGAGAATGAGATCTGAGGAACACCGTTGAAGTGGCAGAAAAGTTCCTGAAAGACTCTTTTCTCTAATTAACCATTCAAAATCCTGAAGTGGCATTGTGAATCAAGTGGTAGAACGCTAGCCTTGAGCACAAAGAGGCTCAGAGACAGCACCCAGGCCCTGAGTTCAAGCCCCATGACTAACAGAAAAAAGTAAAATAAGAAAAACTACTTTTCAATAGAAAAGGGAAAAACAAAACCAATTACAGCTAGTTTGAGAAAGCCCTTTCTTCTTCTTGAACTCCCAATCTCCTGCTTGCTAGGCAAGCATTTTAACTCTTAAATCATGCCTCCATCCCTGAAGATCTTGAATTTACTTAGAAGAAAAGTATTTAGTAAATGTTAAAAAAAAAAAAAAGCCCACGCCCTAGCGGCTCATACCTATAATTCTAGCTACTCTGAAAGCTGAGATCCTGAGTACAATAGTTGAAAGCCAACTTGGGAAAACAATTCCTCAAGACTCATACCTCCAGCTAAGTACTGGTGGTTCATGCCTGCAAACCTAGCTACTCAGTAGGTTGAGATCTGAGAATCAAGGTTCTAAGCCAGCCTGGGCAAAGCCAGAAGTAGAGCTATGGCTCTACTGGACCACTAAGGACTAAACAAAAAAGCTAAGGGATAGCACTTACCCTCAGTTCAAGCCCCAGTATCAGCACAACTGATTTCTTGTTTAAACCTCTTTCTTCCAATAAACCAGAAGCAAAAAGCCAAAACTAGAGATGTGATTCAAGTGAGATTGCCAGCCATCCTCATAAAAGCCAAACGTAAGCAGCATGAGGCCCTGAGTTCAAGCTCTAGCACAAGCCTCCCAACTCAAAAAACTCACTATGGAAAATATGGCAGAAAATCAAAGCACTACTTTGAAGCCCAAATCCAAGTTCCTAAAAACACCAGATTGTTAAAACAGAGTGTATTTTAACTAACACAGGGATAGTAGCTTCAGAAATGAGGTTCTATTTACTGGCATAGCAACCCTGCTCCTTTGAACCATGCTGAAAAAAAGGGAGGGAGAAAAAGAGAAATTGGGCATCCTTCATCAAGCCTGAAGCTAACCTAAATCAAATACCTACTTATAGACTGTGTTCTTTTATTTCCCCCAAAATTCTTATGTTGAAAATTGTGTCCCCTCAGTAGAATCCTCAGGTATTAAGGCTTCTGGGAGATTACTGTGGTCACAAGGGCCCCTTCCAAACAGATAGGCTCTACTACAAAAGTTTGCCAAGTGAGTTCATGTTCCCTTCCACCACCTTTTGTCCTGTGGGAGAACAGTAAGATGGTCTCAACAAATTATTTGACTTTCATAGACAGTCAAAGAAAAATTCAGTTTTTTGTCTT